TTTTTTTTTTTTTTTTTTTTTTGATAACGTAATTTGCAAGACTGAACTGAGAGGTCATCCAAGCCTAATGTTAAATAACCAAAGAGATGGGAAAACTCAATAAACACTTAAACACTCAGCCGGGAAGTGTAAAAGAAGAGATCCAAAAATAGCTTCCAATTATTATAATTATAATAATAATAATTATTATTATTATTATTGTTATTATTGTTGTTATTGTATTGCTAAAGTGAAGTCCTGAAACGCTCTGTACTTTTTCTGAAGCGTTTGAGTAAATTAAACACACGCATTTTCTTGAGGATATCAATTTGTGCATATTTATAAATGCAAGACATTACTATCAAAATCACTTCACATCTGGTTTGATAAATTAAGAAAGGGTCGGGGGGATGGGTAGATGTTTGGACAGAATGTGTGTGTGTACGCGTGTGTGTGTGTGTGTGTGTGTGCAGCAGACTATGGCCGACTGCATGCGACTGTAGAGGGAGCTCCAACACTAAGTTTACATAAACTTCCTCTGATAAGCTCTCACACATGCAAATGCTCACATCGCGGCCGAATAAAACAAATGATGTTATTATTAGTTATACAGCCACGATATATTACAATTACACTACAAAGCGGCCTTGGTTGAATGAAAAAAATAATAGTACTAAAATGCATGATTTATGCGGGAGAGAAACGGAATTACAAACGGAGCAAGATGAGATGTTCGAAAGGCAAAAATCCATCTTCAGGATCGACTGAACTAGTGATGCTCAAACAGCCATTCATTACATTTAGTCTGTTTTTTTAAAAGCACAATTTTCAGCGAAAATTAATGAAAGAATTATGCTTTTTAAATATGAGCGCTACGCCTGTATATGGGGATAATCCCACAACATTAATATCCAAATGTATGCTGCAGCGCTGGCTAATTAGCCTTAAGTCCCTCCGCTATAAAAGTGTGATAAATCCCTCTCGAATATTTACTTATCACTGCCACGGAGGATGAAGTCTGTGCCCCAGGCTGTCCACTAACACACACACACACACACACACTCACACACACACCTACACACACACTCACAAACCCAAAGCGGTGGACTTCAAGCTGCTGTGCACCACCTGCATCATCAAAATCAGCTGTCAAAATACCTTCAACTAAAACAGAAAAAAAAAATGAAGAAAAACATTTTTTTTCTTCTTTAAGTTGCAGCAGTTCATTTATTAGCCAAAAATATAGACTTTCTTGTACAATTTGGTTCACAAGTATGTACATATTCTTAACTTTATATACAAAAAAAATTATAACATCAAATCCTCACAGAACTTACAAAAAGAAAAGGGGGGGAGGAGGAGCTCACAGACTACAGGTTCATACATTATTACATTAGCAGTTTTACACGGGACATGCTTACAATGTAAGTAGGCTATACAGAGATCTTTTATTCTTATTTTACATTCCATACTCGATTTCAAATTAAAAGATGAGAAGAAGAAGGAGGGGGGGAAAAAGGAGCCGGGAACCATCGCTGTTTTAAGTCGGTCCTGAAGCCTTAAAAATGAAATACACAGGAGTAAAAGCTAAATAAAATAAAAAAAAAATGCAGTGCAGGGGAGGAGAAAATAAACAGTAATAACGGCCTCGTGAAGAGTTAAAACTTAAAGTGATATAAAAGACAATTGCCTTGCAAAAAAAATTAAATAAATGAAAGAAAAAACGAGCTTGAAATGAATTTGCATTGAGCTCATTTGCATGACCAAAACAAGTGAGTGTAAAGAGAGGCCTTAACGGAATAACACAAGCGGTGCACACACACACACACACACTCTCTCTCTCTCTCCCTCTCTCTCTCTCTCTTTCACACACACACACACACACACACACACACACACACTTACACACGAGGATGAATGAAATTTTCAGAATCAAAGCTCATTTGGATAAATATGGCATTAAAAACAAGAGAAGCAGAACAAAAGAAAAGAATGAGATGGCATCAAAATTTAAAAAAATAAATAAAATAAACTGTCAAAACCAGACAGCCTTCTGTCTGTTTGATCTGCCGTTTTCTTTGCATCCAAAGGCACTAGATCTTCAACTGCGGGACAGAAAATTAACATGAAATTGCGCTAATTTTACTGCCTGTTATCACAACCCACATTGACTTGTGTTAGAAAATTATCCGCCTTGAAAGAACAACAACAACAAAACCCTCTTGTACATGTGAATCGATGTAATGACGAATTTTGGAATTTTTTTTTCAAACAAATTTAATATTTATTATTTTTTCTTAAATGCTTTCGTTTCCTATTTTTTTTAATATAAAAGGGTAAAGGGCTTTTTCACAACAATTTATCTTTCATACACACACATACAAACACTGTCTGCTCCTAGCTGTAACACTTTAACACTGATCATCTGTGTGGCCTGGACAGAGAGAGAAAAAGGCAAAGGGAGATCTAAAATTAAAGAAATGAATGACAGGAAATGGCCTATAGTGTCTCTGGAGTTTAGTTTTTTTTTCTCTACATGCGGGTCTCAGTGCCGGGGACATGTACCTGTGACTGGAGTCTCTGAACTATGACTCTTGTCCTCCGTTTGCCTGCTGCTGTACAGTGCCAGGCTGGTGGCGGTGGCCTGGTTCGCCAGTCCCAGATAATGATTGGAGTTCAGTAAAGCCAGCTGGTGCGCCGAGAACGCTCGGTTCGTCCAGTTCTGGATTTTCCCAACGGGACAGGAAGAGATTAGTCTGTGCGGGCCGAGGATGGTCTGGGTGGCCGTCCCTCCTCCCGTCGCTGCTGGGCCGCTGCCGTTCACCTGCGGCGACTTGCGCGGATTGTCGGGGGCCGTGGCCGTCTCTGCCAGGGACCAGATCTTTGGTTTCTGGGCCGGGGCTGGGTTGTTCTCTGAAGGCGGAGAGCTGGCGGACACCTGGTTGAGTTTGAGCTGTTCTGCGTTTGGTTGGGACGCCTTGATGTCCAAAGATGGGTGGTGGTGATGGTGGCCGTGGAAGAGCTCTCCACCTCTCTGCGCCTCCTTGGCCTCCTTCCCCACAGCCTTCAGAAACCTCTGCTCCGGCCCTTGTAAATCCTCATAGCCGTCCGAAATCTCAGAGTCACTCCTTCCGTCTAGTTTTATGTCCGAGTGAAGGTCGTCCTGGTCGTCCAAGTCGTCCTTGCTCTCAATATTTTCCGTGTCGATGTTCTCCAGGTCAATTTCCTCCTCATCCTCCCTCTTGTCCCCCTCCTCCCCCTCATGGTCGCTGGTGTAAACATTCCCCTCTTCATCGGTGCGGTTCCGGGGGGTCCAGGTCATCTTGTTCTCCTTCTTTAGCCGCCTCCTGGCGTTGGCGAACCAGGTGGACACCTGGGTGAGGGTCATCTTGGTGATAATGGCCAGCATGATCTTCTCGCCCTTGGTTGGGTAAGGGTTCTTGCGGTGCTCGCTGAGCCAGGCCTTCAGAGTGCTGGTGCTCTCCCTGGTGGCGTTTTTGGGTCTGGACGGGTCACCGAACTGATACTGGCCATATGGGTAAAAAGCAGGATGAGGGGGGGCGAAGCCTGGGTGCTGGACACCGTGGCCGTCTTTCAGATCATACTGGGCGCCCTAAAAAGACAAAGAGGGATTCATGAGCTGAATCGCCATGTGAAGTGTTCATTTACAGCAGTAGGCTAAACCTGCAGGTTCTTATTAAAGGTAGAAACAAAGTAGGATTTTATACGTTTTCAGTTTTAGTTTGTTTTATTTATTTATTAATATTTTTCAAATTGCCCCCTATGCATGTTCGCAAATAAATGCAAGTGTAATTATTTAAAAATATTTCTCATTAATTAATTAGCTATGCACTTCCACCACATTTTTCACTTTTCTAACTCGCTTTAATCAACTTAAGAAAAGTGGAGCTAAGAGTAAACTCAAGCAAGATTTTGTTAATGTTTCACTTTGTAAAAAAAAAAAAACTTTTTAACTAAATGTCCAAGCCACAAAGTTCAACCCGGCGCTGCAAAAGTTCTGCCTCTAAATAAATACGCCCAAAAAGTTTCTCCGCGTAAAAGTTGAGAGAAAACTCAACACACAGAGTTAGACACTCACCAATTGATTGAAAATTGATATATCGTTGGAGTAAGGTAGAAAGGCTCCGTAGCCCTGCGCGGCTGCGGCGAAAGGAGATCCGTACATGCTGGAGAGGACGTTGGAAAGTGCGCCGGACGGACTCAGCTCCGTCCCGGCCCGGGCGCTGCCGGCGATCCCTTGGCGCTCCGGCGGGTATATCGGTCGGATGTACTGATATCCCAGCTGAGGGAAAGACATGTTGATAGGAAGCGGGGAGGAAGAGTCTTCTGCAGCCTCGCAAAGCAACGGACTTGCCTCGGTATCCACTTTTACAGTGTGAACATGTGAGCAACAAAAGGTGCCAGGCTCGGGAAGTCTATATTTCCTCGGGAACAGCCACTGTAAACGATCCCGGTTGCGCCCCTTGTTTCTTCCTCTTCTTCGTCTTCTTTCCACCCTCACTTCCCTATTGATCTGGATGGACTAAGGTCAGGTCCTTACAGATTGCTTCAGATTATTGGGACTCCCTTGCTCAGATTGACATTTCTAGTCGTTTAGAAGCCCCTCCTATTTCTCAAATCTCACCCCTCTGGTACAAACCACACGCCAAACAGCGCTCTTTCGCTCTCTCTCTCTTTCTCTCTCTCTCGCTCTCTCTCTCTCCTTCACCCTCTCTCTCTCTCCTCCCTCCCTCTCCTCCCTCCCTCTTTCTCTCCCTCGGATAAATGCACTAATGTCGGGAGCTGTTTTTTTGAATGGGGCTTCAAATCTCATTTTATGGCTCGCCAATCGATTTCATTTAGTGTTTGTCAAACTACAGACTTTTAAAAAAGTTATTCAGATATTTTGACCACATGAACAAAAGTCTTGAGCATTATGATTAACTTGGTGATCTCTCTTTTTATTTGTTTGTTTGTTTTGTGTTTCTAACATAAATGCAAACTTTTCTTTCGATAAAATTGAAAGCTGCTCGTCGAAACTAAAAAAAATTATCCCGCTTTGAATTCAAGCTGTTTTAAGTTTTAATTTAAACGCGCTTTTCCCTCCTTTTATGAAAGTTCACAAACATCCTAACATTTATGCAATGTTCCAAAGTAAATCCGAGACAGAAACTTTTGTCTTTAATAATAAATGCATGTGCAAAATGATATTTGTCACACTTGAAAAGAAACGTATTTATTTCAGGCTTGATCGCTGGGTAAGAGTCGCGCTTTTCTGCACCGGTTTGGTGGTGCTGTTTGGACTCATGGAGAGGCAGCAGAGTCGGAGTCCTTCTTTTAATTCAAGACATCAAACGGGGTCGCGTGTAACCCCGTGGTATCAAAGGGGGAAGACGCCACTGATGGGGCGCGTTAAGCCGCTAATGAAGACAAAGTGCAAAGTAAAAAAATGTGAAAACCAGATGGATGCACAATTTAGTGAATTGGGCTGCAGAGATGTTTATTCTGAGAATAAACATAAACAGAATTAAAGGTAAGAAAAATGTAATGATAATAATAATAATAATAATAATAATAATAATAATAATAATAATAATTTGCCACAAAAAATCATGCACAAAATATTTACTAATTTTAAATTACACTTTTTCTTTTTTCAAAAGAAAAAGAAAAAAAACCCTCATCCTTAAATATCCATTAAGTAATTTTGATGCAACCCGTATCTTTCGTGTAAATAATGCGGATTAAATCTAAACAAGGGAGTCAAAATTGGAATTCCATGAATCAATATAGAAAAGTGTGTATTCGGGACAAGCATAATCGCATTTCGAGCCGACTTTGGTAGCTACCAGCATCTGTTTTGTTAATCATTCGCCATACAAACCCAGAAGTTCAGTTGTTTTTATTATTGTTATTATACGACTAGTAATATTATCCCTCACGCACCCCATTTAAATATGCTTTAAGTCTTAATGCCTTATTGACGGCGTGATGAAATCCCATCAATCTCAGTTCTGGTCTGATAATGCGATCCGTTTTTTTTTTTTTTTTTTTTTTTTTCCAAGAACTCTGAACTTGTATAAACCTTTAATCTTCTTTTGAAGCAGATAGTTATCATTGTCTGGGAGGGATAATGGAAGCTATAATTTCTACTGTGGGGCTACCCATAAGGATACGCCTTGTTTCTGTAAAACTCTGCCCTGAATGTGTGTGTATGTTTAAATGCCTGTGTGTGTGTGTGTGTGTGTGTGTGTTCCTCGCCGACATAGGCTATACCCAACCCGGATTATGGGGTTATTAATTACAGCGGCTTGCTGGTGCCATGCGACCGGAATGGTAATCACTCCGTAGCAGTCAATAGCACGGGCGCACGCAGGCGCGCGCGCGCGCGCGGTCATGCCCGTGCTGCATTGACCCGCAAAACTGAAGGGGTCTATGGGGGGAGAAGAGGGGCTGGTGGGAGATGTGACTTTAGATGCAGAGGAAGTTTAAGAAGGTAAAAAAAAAAAAAAAATATGTGTGTGTGTGTGTGTGTGTGTGTGTGTATTTCAGAAAGAGTGAGAGAGAGACAGAAAGAGAAAAGAGAGGGAGAGCCCACGTGGCTGCTCCAAGTGAGAGTGTGGGAGTCCAACGAGATGTCTGCCTGTTTTATGTCCGCTCAGCAGCGCCTCTAGTCCGGATGGGCACGTGTCTCATCTCCGGGTCCGCGTAGCTCAGAACTTCCACCTTCACCACCCGGCTATCACCCCTCCTAGCCCACCGCCCCACCCATCCAGACTAGAGACTTCTGTCTGATTTATTGCCCCCAATCAAACACACCACGCACTAAGTTAACACTTTCACACCGTCCGGGGAAACTGGCGCAGCCATAAAAGCATTAAGATGCTGCAACCCTCTGAGCCTTGGTAAACAGTAAGCATGTGCCGGGCTGCCCCGAAAGCCACTGACTCGTAATAATAATAATAATAATAATAATAATAATAATAATAATAATAATAATAATAATAATTATTATTATTATTATTATAATTATAATAATACATTTTATTTATTTACTTTTTCAAAATGTTAGTGTGCAGGAGCCAATTTAATTTGCAGCTGTAAAAATAAAACAAGAAAAAAAAGAAAAGGAAAAAGAGGACAATCACACGCGAGTGACTTGAGGGCTGTTTTGTCGAGAGCTCTTCGACGGTAATTATGCAGATGACACAATTTCACATTCTCATAAGCAAACATACACGGCCTATCGCTCAACAGTAGTTCCTTATGCAATACTCAGGGCACCAGCGACACGTCGCAAATGATGAGCCGAGGCGCTCTGCAAAAACAGGCGAGATCAAAGGCTTCAAACAGAGACACTTCAAATTACACATTTGGATCTTTTCCATAATGCCTCGGTGACACACTGAGAGGGAGAGGGGAACAGAACATAACTCTTATCCCAAAATCGATTTTAAAAGAGCCCTTGCCGATCAACTTTACAGTTAAATATTAAAAGGAAAGAAAAAACTAAAAAGGAATTCTAATTAATTACACTTAATGGATAATGGCTTTAAATTTTACACGAATAACTTCCAGAATAAACAAAAGCTTATGGTCGGCTGATGGCAAATATGCAAGCTTATCTGGAAGCATAAAACAACAGCTAAAAAGTTCGGGAATAATTCACAAAAGTGCCCAACCCTTCTGATTACAAACTCATTATAGTGAGCTGCTGTTGTTCTGTGAGGAATGTTCCTCTGCGGGCTCAAACCTAAATCTGTTGGTAACCTAAAAAACTAACTGTGCAACACATTCAATCTCCAAATATGCTCTTTTGAAACTCATGTCCCATTAGGGTTAAATAAAAGGCCCATAAATCTGGCGGTGTTTAAGGAACAGAGGCTTAATCCAATAAATGAATTAGTTTCTGGAAATTAATTGTTCTTAGCAGCAGAAGCAAGTGTACTTTGAAAATACATTTAAAGTTTAATTTTTTTCACTGTTGGCATAATTTAAAGAGCAGGATTTTTAATTACATTACACCAACCAATCATGCATGTTAAATAGATAGCCCAAGTTTGATTTGCATTAGTGGAAAAGTAGAGCATTTTGGAACCCTTTCCTTGTGCTCGCACCATTTGGAAACAAATTAATAGTCAATGGACTGCAACTTATTAAGTTGGGTTATGACGGCAGATCAAAGTGTGAATTAATGCATTACCTTGCAAGTGTTTCACATTAACTTGTTAACTTTGGGGTGCAGGCAACTACTAAATTCAGGCGTACAAGCTGCACGTATCCCATTTTAGATTCACATCTTGCAGAGCTCTCGCCAGGCACCTTCAAGCATATACATTTTGTACAATGTGCATTTTAATTGTGATACTGCGTGTATGCATGCATACATAAAATACACTAAGAAGAATTAAGAAAATCTAAGCTAAAACTGACTTAAAACTCATAATATTTATACCTGTTGTGGATTTGTTTTTCTTTCTAAATAACTGCCCCTAATGTCTGTTTTAATCTGGCAGTTTTTTTTTAATGATTCAACCAAAGATGCTTATAGATTTTAGTGTGTGATGAGAAGCATGCCCTGTACATTTGTTGTAAAAGCATCTCACCTGGCAGGTATTTATGTAGAATCAAAGTATTTAACTGGGATAACTCAGGGTTATTTTAGCATAAAACAGGCCTGCAGAACAGACACAGTCTGCTGTCCTATCAATGTAAAAGCAGTTAAACTGAAATTTCATCACATTATGTAATGCATTAAGCATTAAAAAACACTTGCACTGCACTTTGGTGATGAATCCCGGGCTTAAGGGAACATAATGTCCACACTAACTAGGAATGCATGCTTTGAAGGTGAGTTGTACCTTTCCTCCAATTTGCTTCCTCGCTGTCCATTCCCTTTCACTCCATTTGCTTCAGTTTCCCCCTGTATCAGTAACACAAGGCATTGATTTTACGGTAAAGTCACTTTGTAAAGGGAATGAGTAACTCTGGGCCCCCACTATCACTGTATTACACGGGTATGGCCCACGTAACAAGATGAACATTGATTCAGCATTACGGATGATCGATAATGAAATAAGTAACTTCAGGGCCAAATTAAAATGCAAGCTGGCTTGATGCTGCCAGGCTCTTTGTGAGGTGATGGCAGGAGAAAGGAAAGTAGAGGGAGGGAGGAGAGGGGAAGGCAAACAGGGGGAGACAGAAACTACGAGGTGGTGGCACTGGAGAACTTGCTGGAAACAGCAAGAGTGACGCAACTCCTAAAATAATCCTTTGTTATCCCAAAGATATTCAGATGTTCCAATTTCATTTAAATTATAAATTACAAATATTTGCTTCTAAGGCTTAGATTGACAGTGTTTCCTCAGATAAATCGTGAACACAGTAATTGCCTTGGATGTCTGCACTTGTGGTCAATGATTTATTCTCCGTGTAACATTCTAAACATGATGGAAATTAACTTTGCTGGCCTGTTTATTTGAAAGGAATTAACATTTCACATCAAGTGGAAACGTGGCTTAACATTGCCCCTGGCATGATAGGAAGCTGATGACATGGGCAGATGATCTTTTGCCTCTGGCTGATGGAATTCAAATGATGTTTATAAAAATATAATACTACAGGATAT